ACCTACCAACACCTGTAAAGCTAACAAATGAACACAATGTATCCTGTTTCTTTAATTTGTGGCTTTAAAGGGAGTTGCATTTAAGTCCCCCCAAACTTGTGCTTACATTTCTGTTTGTGTATTAAGTAAAGGTTTATGTACACTAGTGCTGTGGCCCTCCGCCTCTTGATACGGATGCACCAGGCACCCTTTAGCGTCTGTATGAGACGCACCAGGGCTTCCAACTAACTCCAATATTAACCCACCTGCGTCATTATTAGACACAACAGCAGTAGAATTAAGAGCGAGAAAGTCTGCTAAGGGCGGAGGGAGGATGGGTCAAACAAACATAGGACAGCATCACACCCCTCAGGGGGTCGGCGTTATGTCATGTGATGCTACGTGATGGCGTTACGCTCGTAGCTTAAGTTTCTTTATAAACCTTTCCGCGTTATCAGGTATTATTGTTGCCTTGACCTACCCGCCACCGTATCACAACGTTAACCGCAACAGTTTCAAAAACGTTGATCATGCACGAACCTTCCGGCATCCTGATACCACCAGAAGGCTGTCCCCGGCCTTGGGCTTCTGCCCAAAGGACAAAATATGCAGATGAGTTCACCCTCTTGTGTCCCTCGACTTTATAGGGACATTACAGAGACACAATGTGCTGGAGAGGTGCTGGTGGGGGGATTTTTCAATTTTGGAGAGAGAGCAAAATCCAAAATTCCCCTCTTCCAGTCTTTATGCTAAGCTAAGCTAATTGCCTCTTATCCCCAGCTCCCTACTTAATGCAGACCTATGAGACTGGTATCAATCTTCTCATCTAACCCTCGCAGATGACTCCTACCCTTGAGCAAAGGCACATTATGGCCATTTCAGTTGCGATTCAGCATCAGAGAGTTCAAGTAACTTGTGACCAAACAATGTGGCAAGAGTTCCTCCCACCATTATTTTGTTAAATTTGCTCCACGAGGACAGGAAGAATCCTGAGCTGCACAAAATCTGAGATAAAATGAAAGGAAGGGATACAATATAACCTGGTGGCTGGCGAGCCAGAGACCACAATGAAAGGAGCAAGACGGAAGACAGCTGGAAGATGTTTAGACAGGACGAGATCGCTGTGTTGACAGGAGGGGTCAACAGTCAGGGCCACTTAAGGACAGATTATTGACCGTTTCTCCAGTCTGTGCTAATGGAACGGTCCGAAGCTGTCAAAACATATTTGTGCACAACGCTTGAACAAATGAATGACCTATCAGAATGAATAATACAAGGAGTCGAAGCTATGCATGAACAGTTATGACACAACACAGACTTGCAGCATATCAAATTGACTTGAAAGAAAAACACTGAGATAGAGAGGCCACTCAATAAAAAGCCCATTAGGGCTTCTTGCTGCAGCAGAACAATCGGAAACATGACGGAAACCCAATTAAAACGATATCTACAAAAGGAAGAGTGAGGCACTTTACAAATACCCTTGCAGCTGATATGCCCTTGTCCTCTTTCTTGCTGACACGCACCATGTGTAAACTCGCTCCAGGTCCTTGCAAAAAAAAAATCCCTTATATGGGTCGTTGTCACACGGATGCATGTGAAACTGCCAATGTGATCAAAGCTAGATGTTGTTGATTAAAAGAAATGCCTTTACCAGACGCATATATAAGTATCGGAGCTAAAGTAATATATATGTTATTCTAAACCATATATGTATGCAGTGACATTTTATAGTATGCAAGTCTCGGGCTGCATCTGTCGATTATTACTTCAATTTATCAATTATCAATCGAATAAAAAGTGTTTTTTTCCCAGCAGGCCCCAATAATTAGTCAGCTCATAACATAACACTTGTAACTGAACTCTTTAGGTTTACCAGTGAACAAGTCCTTTTCATTTGCATGAATTTCTTTCTCGGACATTTCAGAAACAGGGTGGAAAAAAACAATTTGGGTCCAGGATTTGGAGCAGCAGCTCATCGCTTTTGTTCTTGACGTAATGCCTTCCTTCTCTACGCAGACTACGATGCATGGAGCCAAAGCAAAGGGGAGATTCTGTGCACAATGAGAAACTCAGATGGATGATTCACAAGCAAGCGTAAGAAGAGCTGCAGCCAATGGAAGAGTTTCAGGTTTTGAGCAGTCGGACCACACAACGAATGTGGACAACACGTACAGACACATCGCCACACATGACTAATGGACCGGCTTAACGAGGTTCACGTCACAGTACAGAATGTACTTCCATTAAGGGCAGAACTGTGAAATCATTATTAAAGAATGTGAGGTCAATAAATTCGCATCAGCAAACATGCTAAGATTAATCCAAAACACAAACAGTGTATCTGGGGTTTTCCAGTGAGATAGAGGCGAAGGGATTGGCAGCCATACTTGGAAGAAGAGGAGCTGAAGGAGGGGAAAGTCATCTCATGGGTTGAGTGAACAGACATCACTTCGGGGTAGAGTCCCAGCGTTCCCTTCACAGACGGGCTGAGGCAGGATTAGGTTCTGCAGGCAGAGCTGCTGTCCACTTTCTAACTCTGCCTGCCAGTCTTTCTGTCCATCATTCTGCTCCGCTCCAACTGATGTCACGTCTCAAGTCCTGGTTCGAACAAAACCTTCGAGTACAATGCGCTATTGTTTCATTTAAAACATCCTGCAAATGTCGGAAATACAATGCTCCGAAGAGAATGAAGACATTACATAAACACGGATACTCACTCCAATGGCACGGATTGGTGAACCTTGAAATGCTTCCAAAGTTGGATATAATTCATCAAACTCAAGGTTTCCAGTTCTAGGTTATGGTATGTAAAAACTACTTTAAAAAAACAAACATGAATAGTGAAATATCTGCAGGTTTGAATGGGCACACATGGATTGTTGAGGTTCATTCAAGTAATTCATAAAAGAAATACAGCAACTACTAACAGTAACTCTCATAGTAACAAAAGAAAAAATAAGGCTCGCACACAGGATGTGTCAAAATCCATTGATGCTGGACATTCCTGAAAAGAGGGACAGCAGGTAAAGGTTCATATAAGTGTAAAAAGGAGATCTCAAGCACACTGCAAACAGGAGCCGGTCTTCCTGCCTAGAAATATTGATCAAAATCGGAGAAAGCGCCGCAGATGTGGCCTACTTCCTGTTTGTAACCCCCGATTCCAACTTTGTCACAGCCAAACGGTCTGCAGCTGATTAATCGAGTGTTGTCCACAGAACTGTGGGAATGTTATTCACTCACGGATACAAGAAAGCGGCCTATTCAACTGTCTTGCACTCCGACTCATGAGTTACTGAATTGTTGTAAATAATTGTGCACGCTCTCACCTCACAGTACATGCTTATCACCGAGCACTTCCTGCTCACTGATCTGTGATCCTGTGATAAGTCCAACACTCTACTTGTAAAACTGCAAGCAGAAATTAGTGCATGTTAAATGCAGGCAGTTCAAATGAATTGAAATTCACATTCAAGGCCTCTCAATGCTCCATTCTTTCACATGTGATTGAATCAGCGCTGTAGAGGAGAGAAATATGTATTTGACTTGATTATATTATCCAATGTCCTTAGAATAAAAAAAGTTTAGAATATGGCAATTTGTAAAAGGGGTTCAATTTGTTCTTATCATTATGGCTCATGTATCGGTTATGCATTTTCACTGACACATTATTTTTGCGTATTTTTAGAGTATTAAAGTTATGCAACACTTGTCACCAGTCGGGCTAATGGCCTCATTGTAATGACCCCAATATGTGTTGCCTGCTAATCTTGGACTCGTCTCTTATCAATTTGCCAGAAAACAGTTTAAGAGACACAGACCATCGCCAATGTGAGAAAGACATAAAACAAAGCGCAGAAAAAACAACAGAGTGCCAAAAAAAACTTCCAGTGCTCTCCCCGACGAAAAGAATGGAACACCTGAAGGCCTCATTATAGCCTCCCCATGACTTCTCTATGTGGGAGCGTGTAAGTGCATGAGACAGTGAAGAGCAGTTCAGCCATACTGTAGAGCACCTCTCCCTGAACTCAAGTGTTCTCTGCAGGCATGTTCACCAACAGCTGAGGCCAGCAGGGATCCTGCCCTGCCGGCCCGGTCATTAGCTCCTCCGCAGCACGCTCCCCAAAGCTGCTCCGCTAATGGACGCCAAGTAAGCCGGCCAATAACCTCCAACGCACACATAAGGAACTCATATTAGTACAACAATGGATGCATTGCTGCTTTCAGCCATTCCAACACCTTGCATGCTCATCATCTGTACAAACAACTTGCATTCATCAACATGTTTCACTCTTTTTATTACAGAGTATTCCATTTCCATCACATACAGTAGAAAAAACACACTTTTCTTAACAATAACATTTAAGTGCTTAAATATCAGTAACGTAAATGTATGATATGCACAGTTTATGTTACTTGGGGAAGAGGAAGTTGTGATTGACACTTAAGATTATGAGATGAAATGTTGGTTATTTATATGGTGACTGTCTACACATTTGAGATAAAGATTATGCCTAGCACAACCTCCCCCTTCATTGTCATGTACACGAGTAAAAGTACTGCCTTCAGGAGGTATAAATAGACTTCTGTCATGTACAGCTTAGTTACAACTAGAAATGTCAAATTCTGCCTACAAGTGACAGTTAACATAGATTATCACAGTAAATACGGTTCCGTTTAAAACCTTCACAAAAATCCACATAACAGCATTTTCATGGTATAAAAATAAGTTACAAATCTGCATAAATAGTTTACACAAAAACAGTTATAAAATATGCTGTATTTTCTGACATGGTAACACAAAACATTTTTTTACACCATTGGGTAATAAGAATATTTTCAGTTTGGTGAATTTTTGAATTTTTGATGAACACAACATTTTTAAAAAATTGTTAGTCCCATTTGGCGCCGCGCTTGGCTTCAACAGTTGTTCAGATTTACAAAACCGAAGAGAGAAAAATCTGCAGCAAAGCCCAGTTTCATTTCCTTTTATCGCCACTTCACTCAGCTCAGAGACGGATGAAGAGCGTCCCATCCCATACAGATAAACCTCCTACGAACAAGCGTTTCCCCTTAAGTATCAAGTCCACAGATGACTCCCTACAGGCTGAGCACAAAGACAGGAGAGAGAGACACAGAGAGGGAGGGAATGAGTTGTTCTCAGTGTGTCATGAGAGAGATTACAGTAGGAGAAACAGGCGTTATCCTGGATGTTCAGACATTGAGCTGGCGTCATTTGTAGACACAACCCCTAACCCTGTGTGTTTTAGAGCTTTAGCTGCACTCAACTACTGAGGTCAATTAATGGAATAATGAACAACGGCCAAAGATGACCTCGTTTTTGAGTGAGACAAGGGAATGCCGAGGGTCCTGCCTCCAAACTGGCCGGTTTCCCAATTAACTGGCTTCACGGTACACAGGAAGCAAGGCACTGTGGGCGATAAGTAATCATCTACCACGATGTTTCACCACAGTGGAGCCAGAGCCACGTGTGATACTGCGGATGCACGATTAGTACCACACCATCGAGGCATCGGCATTGTTTGATCTCCATTAGAACACAAAGAATATACACGATTTAAAGCGTGCGGTACGACAGTATAGACGCACGATAGTTGAGCTGTGACGCAAGACTCATGCTGCCGCTCTGTGTCGTCTGCATACACAGACCAACATCACTGTGAACTACAAAAGCTTTGCACGGATGTTGATAAAAATCACTCAGCATTTTATGCATCAGCCGTCCCTATCTGTGCATCCAGTGACGGCACTAGTGTGCATGAAATATGCAAACACAATAGTTGCATTACACACATTCTATTCCGATATACTTGTATTGGGTATTTAGGGCGGCAATACAGTATAGTAGGACTTGCTGACACAATACAGTGTCAGCAAGTTTGTTGGTAAACGTGTCGGCATCAATAACCAGGTCAAATAACTTGTGCACTTACTGTAATTGAGTCTAATTGTTGGCTGTGAGCTACGACAGGACTGTGTTCCAGCCAAACACACACACCACTGTACTGTGTGTGTGTGTGTGTGTGTGTAGATATCTAAAAAGAGCTTTAAATGTAAATCATTGTATATTTTGATCTATATCTATGATGAACTGCTTCAGCTTACCTGCGCTTCAGCCGCTTTTGAGGAAGTGCTCTGAAAAGACAGGAAGAGTTTGTGAGGCCGCTGTGTGCAAAAGAACATCTCGCAATGTGACGGTGTGTGAAGAGATGATTTAAGTCCAGCAGGACTTGTGACAAAGTGCAAGAATGTCAACATGGAAACGTTGTTGAAATAATATAATCCTAGACTGCCACTACGTCAGTTACTCGCTGCCACCCCATTCACATGGAGAGGGGTTCACTCACACTGCTGTGTTTACTGCCACAGGCACCAACCACCTCATTTGTTTGGGGATTTCATGCATTAGGACAACCTTGACATAAACTGGCTGCATACTGACGGTTATATTCAACTATGAAACCAGAGTCCGGCGGCAGCCCCTGCAGTTACTGAGCCTTCAGGTCTAATTAAATTCAGCCGGCCCGCGTGCCGATCAGCGCACCGGTGAGCCATATATCTCCGGTAAGATGACCACTCTTGTTATTTTAGGCACATTGTTCCTCTTTCAGGATTCATTCTCAGCCTTTTATGGTGCGTCATAAAAGCTAACCTTGTTTTTGTTCGTCTCGGTGATGAGTGAACCGAGTCTGCACAGGATTCAAAGGACATCATAGTTAATGTTTAGAGGAACATCATGCACTTGAAAAAATATCGGCATTTTGCATGAAAGCAAGATGGTTTAAAATCTGTAACTGTCATCATTTCTATTTTGTTTTTGTGATTTCTTAAAATCAAGTTTTGCAACTGCAGCTGACCTACTTGATCAGGTTGCACAGTGTAAAATGTTTCTCTGATCACACACACACATACACACAAACGCACGCACACACACACACACACACACAAACACACACACACACACATGCACACAGAGAAACAAACAAAAAGTATTTTCTCTGCACTGGCCTTTTTAATCTAATTGTTGAAATCAGGAGTTGGTGCCACCTGGTGGAACAAAGTATTCCACCACACACACACACACACACACACACAGAGACACACTCCCACACACGCACACTCACACACGCGCACACACACACAGGTGTGGAGGGCAATGGAAGCACTTTCAAACACTTAAATGCTTCACACAACGAATCCTACGAGCATTAGATAACATTTACACATGGGTAACATGCGTTTGGCTTGACACACAACGGATCAGCAGCAGTGTGTGTCTGTGTGAGGCCACTGGTGTCGTCACACACTCACCTGTAGATGTTTGGGTCGAGCAGCACGGCAGCGTCCTGTGGTAACTGGGATAAGTGCACCACTTTAGACTTCAGCTGAGATCGCTCCGTTTCATTCACCCACACGTCAGGTAGTCTGTAAGACAACACACACACACACACACAGAGAAGACATGTGGTCAGGGATGAAGTTCTAACAAGAAAGAGGGAGAGAAAAGGGGGTTGGATTGAGAAAAGGGGTGAGATGGATGCACAAAGAGCCTCATTGAGTCCAGCGCACATGTTAACACCTTCCTCTGAACACTGAGTATGTTTCCATAAGAAACATGGCCTTGACCGAAGCACTGGGACCAACACACACACACACACACACACACACACACACAGAGAGGACGGAGCATACTCTCCTCCCGTGTTGTTAATTATCAAGTAACTTCTACTTGTGTGCACTTATAAATCAAATGTGGGAAAGACTGTGTGTATTTCAGTGCTTGTGTGCATTTGAGTGTGTTTTTGTGCATTTAAAATGATCCAACACGGAAGTAGCTTGAAGTACAAATACCGTGCACCTTACAATCAGAACAGCTTGATGTTTCCACTGAACCCTACTGTACTAAATGCAGCGTGATCCCCCCGTGAAAGAAGGGAGTGTGCGAGCACTGGCATGGCCGGTCGAGGTGCAGTAGAAACAAAGAGCTTTGCTAGTCGACGGCGCCTCCCCTCCCTCCTCCAGCCCCCACTCCGTCTCCACCCCCAACATTCCCCCCGTCACCATGTGCGTCATCACAGGAGCCCCCAGAGATGCAGACATACTCGCACGCACGCACACACACACACACACACACACACACACACACACACACACACACACACACACACACACTCACTGCAGGCGGCAGTTAGGCAAGCAGGCAGCACACCCGGCCAAATTACTCATTCACATGCCTAGTCAGCCCATTCAGGAGGACGGTGTGCAGGTTGCACTTCACATGCATCACCGTCAGCTCAACTGGGTGCAGGTAAGAGATGGAGAACAAGAGAGGAAAGGTGATAGAGAACTGACGGTACAAAAAAAAGGGAAGTAGCCCATGTTAATGTACAAAAGCCCCTTATGGCAGTAACTTGCTTTTATGTGTGGATAAGCACTAATGGGATAAAGAAATAGTTTTAATGTTGGTAAAAGCATTGAAAAGGTATTTTTTGGGGGTCATTTAATAATGTAATGTCATTTCTAAAATAGATGAGATATACTAACTAGGTTCTCCATGTTTTTATTCTGTATTCATGCTCAAAGTGTCTCGATCCCCTTTAATGTTTGGAATGGAAGAAAGAGGAAGTTGAGTAAAGGCAGGGACGAGACAAGAAACAGTTCCCTTCAAAGCAGCTTTAAAGTTTAGGTTAGTCTTGAGTTAGCGTCCTTGTGCAAAGGACGCTAGACAAAGGACTTGTCCAAAGCTCAGATGACAGACGAGGACCCGCTGAGTGTTTTATTTATTTACTGCATATATATATATATATATATATATATATATATAAACACTCGTGTGTTTGTGTACGAGCACGCTCACTTGCCCGATCCAATCCGTAGTCACCGTAAACATGCCAGAGCGAGTGTGCCGTGGTACTGATGAGTTACTATATTCTGATGGATGTGAGGCACACAGGAGGGCATGTCACACACACACACACACACACACGTATACACACCCGCCCCCAAATGCACTTTTCAAAGACATCTCCACCCAAAGACTCAGTCACACCAAGCCAAATAAAGACAAATGGATTTACTGCATTTTCCAGAGGAGACCGTTACTTGGCTTGATTCTTTATGAGATAGAAATGTATATTGTGAGTGAGGCCTCTGTGGGGAGAGCTACTGGGGGGGGCTGAAGCCCAGCCCTCCAGTCTGGATTGATGGTTGACTCCAGGCCTTGAAGATCCCAGTGGCGAAAGGAGTAGTAAGTTCATAACAAAGCAGCAAAGTGTATGTCGCTAACGCACTCAACTTTATATGGAACAGCAGGAAGGAAGTTCAATGTCCTAATAAACTGCATCATCAGAAGAGAGCAGGCTTAGGCTCCACCCACACTTAACACCATCTCCGTCCACACGGGCGGTTCAGCCTTGTTTGTGAAACGATTCCATTTCCATCCACACCAGCAAGCCTGAAAACAAGTATGACGATTAACCTATTATATCACCAGGCCTTGGCATGTAGTTGATGGGTAAGGGATTGGACATTCCTTTAACCAGCAATTTGGGTTGTTGGGGTTTTTCCTGCAGGGTCTTAAAACTTTGAGGTTTATGATCATGTTGCCTTGCAAGATTTCACGTACACTGGGCATGCGGTTGCCGGTGTAAACAGGAAGTAGATTGTCGTATTTACTTTAACCAAGCAACCAGAGTATTATAGTAGTCTTTAATAATAAAAGGTAGAGCTGGATACTTAAGATCTTCCTCTATACACTCAGACACATTTCATGGAAAGTTGCATTTTTCAGAGTTAGTTACAAGTCACTTACAAATCACAGTTTACTGGCTAATGGGTCAATAAATTTGGCCAACACACATCTCACTCGTTTCATTGTAAACTTTACTACATTTATAAACTGGAGTAAAGCATCAAAGAGCAGTTTTGTTTATTATATTCTCTATACTATAGACCAGATATGCAACTGTTTATGGTGCCGAACAAAATGACACTCAGTCATTCATGTCCCACAGTTACCTCCCTGATCAAAGATATGCAGAAAGAAGCGAGAGCCTTGTCACAGCTTGAATGGCGCTGCTTATGGACCATTAGTGTACTTAGAGATCCTTGATCTCTGTTGATCCGTGCCCCAATCCTGCACGCTGAATTAGTGTCGCCAATTTGATGTTACGAAGTGCCCAGGATGTTTCTTCAACCTAGGGAGTCGGGGAGGTTTATATTATAAATACACATGATAGATAAAAGTCATATAATGGAATTTGATGCATTTTTCATTGCCTTGTTTGTGTTTACGCAGTTACCAGACAATGATAACATCACACACTAGCTAACAAAGGTTTAGGAGTTAAACCCATGTATGATAAGCCCCGTGTAGCTTGTACAGAGAGGATGTGCCAGCATGCCTCCAGTGGCTCGAGGCGTCACCGTCACCGACTGTGTATTTGTTATTCGGCGGCATTCAACAGCCGGGGAATCCGTTCACCCGTCCATCAGCAGTGATGGTTCTCTTCCTCTCTCAGCCCGCCCACCCCCTCTTCCTCCTGAGCGCTGGTGGTTCATGTTCATCAGTCACTCATTAATCAGAATGTGAATGGTTTGCTCCAACATTAATAAACATGACCTCTTACATTCACCCGGCTAATCAATGACACACACACACACACACACACACACACACACACACACACACACACA